GATCTGTTGAGAGACGGGGGCTTTTTGCTCTCTCTCTCTCTCTCTCTCTCTCTCTCTCTCTCTCTCTCTCTCTCTTTTTTCCTTTTGGTTTTTTGAGACAGGGTTTCTCTGTGTGCTGTCCTGGAACTCTCTCTGTAGACCAGGCTGGCCTCAAACTCACAGAGATCCGCCTGCCTCTGCCGCCCAAGTGCTGGGACTACAGGCGTGGGAAACCACCTCCGGGCCTTATTTATCTATTTATGTAGTCCAGGCTGTCCTGGAAGGTCTTGCTATGTGACTGAGGCTGACCTTGAACTTCTGACCCTCCTGTCTCTGCTGTGATTACAGGTGTGCCGGCCCCCCCTGCTCCCGCCCCTCCACCCCGCCCCCACGCAGGGTTTTATGTGGCGGCTTTGTGCATGCTAGGCAAACACGCTACCAACTGACAGACTTCTCCAACCCCTCGGCAGATGACTAAAAAAGCAGGGCCTGAGGATTAGGTCAGGGGTGAGAAGTCTTTTGTTCCTGAAGCCCTGGCTTCTACGCTAAAAATAGGAAGAAAGGAAAAAAGGAAGAGAAGGGAGGCCGGGCGAGAAGCTCAGCTTTTCCTGTGGGCTTTGTAAGATATGTGAGGATCAGTGTACAATCCCAGTAAAACACTGCCAAGCGCACGCGCGCGCACACACACACACACACACACACACACACGGGTGTACCCCAACACTGTTTTGTTGTTACAGCCAACACAGTTGCTTAATTATCTAATCTCTTTAAACACCCGTGGTGTCTGGATGGCAGCTGTAGAGACTTCTCCAGAACACACAGGCACACACACTCACATGGGTGTGTGCACACACACACGCAGGTATGCACACCGACACTGGTCTTAATGTCTTTAAATACCCTGTGTCTAGATGGCAGCTGTAGAGACTTCTCTAGAACAGGTTGCTGGGAAAGTAAGATGAAGGGCAGGTTGAAACCGTAAAACCACCCACACAATGGGCTTGCCCGAGGCATTCTAGATAACTCTTGTGCCATTCTGGAAACCAGGAAGCTGGTTACTCACACTCTGGCAAAGACTGAGGTGATCTGAACCTGGAGGCTACCGGGAGCAGGGAAGGTCAAAAAAAAATCTGCCTGCAACTCCTGGGGCTGAACGCCTGTGTCCTCCCGGTCACTTCCAGGCCTCCATCAACTACTCCTGCCCAGGGCTCAAGTGTGTCTTCCAGGGCTACACATCCACAGGCGCAGCCCAACGTTCTCTCTTCAACCTGCAAATCTACGGGGTCCTGGGGCTCTTCTGGACCGTTAACTGGGTGCTGGCCCTGGGCCAGTGCGTCCTTGCTGGGGCCTTTGCCTCCTTCTACTGGGCCTATCATAAGCCTCAAGATATCCCTACGTTCCCCTTGAGCTCAGCCTTCATCCGCACGCTCCGGTAAGCCAGCGGCAGTCCCCTAGGGAACCGTCAGCCCTAGGAATACCAGGAGGTGCTGGAGTGCCTCGACTTACCTAAATATCCTCTGCAGTTACCACACTGGGTCACTGGCGTTTGGAGCCCTCATCCTGACCCTGGTGCAGATAGCCCGGATCATCCTGGAATACATTGACCACAAGCTAAGAGGTGAGTGGGCCTCAGCGTCGAGGCACAGGCTGACTGCTGGAGTCTTGAAGGGGGCGGGCCAGGCAGGCAAAAAAACAGTGTGTAAGCATGTGCTTCCTTCATCTCCAGGATCCCAAAACCCCGTGGCCCGATGCATCATTTGCTGTTTCAAGTGCTGCCTCTGGTGTCTGGAGAAGTTTATTAAGTTCCTCAACCGCAATGCCTACATCATGGTGAGCAGAGAGAGCCTAGCACAGCCCCTGCCCTGCACCTGTCTGCCCGGGCGGGGCGGGCTCCACCAGCACTTGGGCCAGCTCACCAGCGGTGTGGCTCTGACCTTTCCCGATCTCCTCTCAGATCGCCATCTATGGGAAGAATTTCTGTGTCTCAGCCAAAAATGCCTTCATGCTGCTCATGAGGAACGTGGTCAGGTCAGGCCGCCCTGGGGCCCCCTACCCCAGATCCCCCATCCTTAAGCTGGCCTCACAGACCGATCCTACTCAGGAGGGTCCCATGTTTGGTCTACGGGCTCCGCCGTCACCATCTGGAAATGGGGATAGATGTCACTGTTCCCAGCTCTGTCAGGTCCCTTACCCCAGGCTGCCCTGCCTTTCCACTGCAGGGTAGTTGTCCTGGATAAAGTCACAGATCTGCTGCTCTTCTTTGGGAAGCTGCTGGTGGTCGGAGGTGTCGGTAAGGGCCACATCAGGGTTTACAGGCGGGCAGGCGCCCTCTGGAGCGCAGAGGAGGGGGTGGGGTGGGGTGTCGGCAGAGGAGCGCACTGACCCGGGGACTCTCACCCACGCAGGTGTCCTGTCTTTCTTCTTTTTCTCCGGGCGTATCAAGGGGCTAGGGAAAGACTTTGAGAACCCCCAGCTCAACTATTACTGGCTGCCCATCATGGTGAGTGACGCCTCTCTCGGCTTCGCCCAAGTCCCCGGAGCCCAGGGGTCCCAACCGGCCTTGTTTCTTGCAGACCTCCATCATGGGGGCCTATGTCATCGCCAGTGGCTTCTTCAGCGTTTTTGGCATGTGTGTGGACACGCTCTTCCTCTGCTTCTGTGAGTGCCCCTGCCAGACGCCACCCCAAACCCCACCCTCGAGCTCTGGACTCTTTCAGGCTTGTCTTAGAGACTGGTTGTTGTTGGTACCTTTGTGAACCTAAAAGAGCCGGCGGGGACATCTTCAGACGTGCTAGGATACAAGTCTGGGGAGGAAAGAAAGGAGTACACCCCAGACACTCTCAGACAGAGGCCTGGTTAGGAAATGTAGGAAGATGTTAACCACAGAACGTTTCCCGGGAGGTAGTCATAGTGTGTGTGTGTGTGGGGGGGTGTTCTTCCTTCTTTTAAAAGGCTTTTGGTGGGGGAAGGGACATGCAGGAACTTGAGGCAGGATCGCAGTATGTAGTACAGGCTGGCCCGGAAATAACTCTAGAGCTAAGGCTGGGGCTCAAACTCGTGATCCTCCTACCTCCTCCCCCAAGTGCTGGAAGTTGTGGTATTGTTTTGTCCCTGGGGACGATGTCACGGGGCCTCGTGCCTGCAAAGCAGGAATGCCCCCCCATTGCGCGGTTGTTTTGTTTCTCTGTTAAATCTTATTTATTTACGTAGGGCCGCTCTATGTGTTCTTGGCTGGCTCTCCAACTCGCTATACAGACCAGGCTGGATCAACCCCAGTCTTCCGGCCTCTGCCTCCCAGGTGCTAGGACCATGGAGACGCACTACCATTTCCCCGACAGCTTTGTTGTGTAGCTCAGGCTGGCCCTATATTCTAAGTCCTCCTGTCTCTGCCTCCTCGGTGTTGGGATTACAGACAAAAAAGCCACCGTGAGCACCACCATGACACTGACACGAGATCTTTCTTTACTCTGTTGCCGCCCTGTGAAATATATGGTTATTTATACACGTTATATGAGGAAGCAGGTTACACAGCCGGCCGGGTAGGTTGTATACAGCGTTAAGTGGCCGGGACAGGGAACCAGGCTGTTTGATCTGCACAGCCCAGATTATTCCTGGGGATGCAGCAGGGTGGCACCTATCAGGATCCGGTGTAATCCATCTACTCTGCCACTCAGTGGAAGATCTGGAGAGAAACGACGGCTCCCAGGAGCGGCCCTACTACATGCCCAAGGCGCTTCTGAAGATTCTGGGCAAGAAGAATGAGATACCTACTGCGGGAAAGAAGAGGAAAAAGTGACCCGGGACTGCAGCCCCCGTGTACAGAAGAACGGCCATTCACGCCTGAAGGACCACCGTTTTATAGCAGAGTTTATTAAAGACTAATGTTTTATATTCTCAGTAGGTGTGGTTTTAGTTTCAGTTCAAGCTCATTTCTCTTTTATCGAAGTCCAAATTTCTATTTTTTGGGGGGGTGGGGGGATGTTTCGAGACAGGGTTTCTCTGTGCCTTTGGAGGCTGTCCTGGAACTCGCTCTTGAAGACCAGGCTGGTCTCGAACTCACAGAGATCTGCCTGCCTCTGCCTCCCGAGTGCTGGGGTTAAAGGCATGTGCGACACCACCGCCCAGCACCAAATTACTGTCACGTGGTTCTATACCAAGTAAAAGGAAATTTGTTCAGGGGCCCAGGCTAGGAGACTGGGGGTTTCCCTCAGCTGGTAGAGCACCTGCATAGCATGTGAAGACGGCCAGATTCTGTCTCCAGCATAAGCATGGCCTTGGGACTCATGCCTTTAATCCAGCACTTTCGAGGTGGAGGCTGGGGGGGGAGGGGTTCCAATAAGATATGTCACCAACGATCCAGGCAACTGTTCGTTTCGTTTTATTTCTTTATTTGCATGTTTTTATTTTAGTTTTTCTAGGCAGGGTTTCTCTGTGTACCCCTAGCTGTCCAGGAACTTGCTGTGTAGACAAGAGGCTGCCCTCGAATTCGCAGGAGACCCGCCTGCCTCTGCCTCCCGAGAGCTGGGATTAAAGGGGTGCGGTGCACTACTACTGCCTGGCGCAAATAAGCAATTTCAAAGTAAATGGAAGGAGCCGGGCGTGGTGCTAACCTTTTTGCCCACGTGATCTCCAGTCTGCCTCCAGAGCGCTGGGGTTACAGAACGGGTTCCGCACCCGCCCAGCTTTTAGATGAAGTTGGGAGTTACAGAGTCCCGTCCTCCGGCTTGCTGAGCTCCTGCGCTCAGGGGTGCACAGCAAACGGATTTTTTTTTTTTTTCCACACGGAGCCACCTCCCCTGCCCCGCCGCTGGCCCTTAAGGCAGGCCCCGCCCCCTCGCCGCGTTCCGGGTATGGGAGCCAATCAGAGAGAGTCTGTAGAGACTGAGCCCGCCTCCCGGGTCACATGCCGAGGTCTGACAGCCGGAAGCACCAACTGGAGTGGCCGCAGCGCGGGCCCGGGCCCACGAGGGGCGGGATCGCAGTGACGTGCGCGCGTTTAAAGTGCCGGGGGGTAGGGGGGGTCAGCTGACGAGCCCGCGGCTGCCGGCGACCGGGTCGTGGACCGGCATCGGGGACGCGATGGTGGCGGCGGCGGTACAGGCGAGCAGACCCCGGGGGCCGCTGAGCTGCTGGGCGAGCCGTCGGGGTCAGGTGCTCGCGGCGATCTTCCTGCTGCTGGTGACCGCGGCGGGGTCCCAGGCCAGGGTACAAGATGACTTCAGCCTGGTGAGCCCGGCTGCACCTTGCAGAGGTGGCCGCTGCCCCTCCCCACCCCACCCCACCCACCCACCGCGCGCTCGCCCACCTCCCCGGGCAGCACTCCTGCCCGCATTGCCCTCCCAGCCGGGCTCCTTTTAGGGTCCTCGCCCATCCCGGAGGGGTGACTCCTCGAGCCCTCGCCGCCTCTCCCCTGCTCCGGAACCTCGGGCTTCCGCCCAGGCGTCCCCCCCTCCGGACCCCCCCTTCCCACCCCTGCCTGCTCAGGCCTCCCATCACCCACCCTCCCCCGGGGGAACCCGAGCTGGAGCCGCTCGCCCTCTGCCTGTTAAGACCTCGTCAGGCGTGCGTCCCTCCACGCAGGTGCAGCCGCTGGTGACCATGGAGCAGCTGCTGTGGGTGAGCGGGAAGCAGATCGGCTCGGTGGACACGTTCCGCATCCCCCTCATCACAGCCACCCCTCGGGGCACGCTCCTCGCCTTCGCCGAGGCCAGGAAAATGTCTGCCTCCGATGAGGGGGCCAAGTTCATCGCCATGAGGAGGTCCACCGACCAGGGTACAGAAGTGGTGACCCAGGTGGAAAGTGGGTTGCACGGGGGACCGAGATCGGGAGTAAGGGGACGGGCGGGGTGGGGGTGGGGTCCCTCCACCAATCCAACCGCCCAGATAGAACTTTGAGGCCCGAGCCCCTAAGGAGTTAGGGAAACCCGAGGGGGGAAGCGTCCAGGGAACTAACTGGGACCACCAAGGGGGTGGTCTCATGGTTTACTGGGCCTGGGTGGAGTGAGCCACCTTCAGGTCCCTGGGGAGAGGCAGGAAGTGGACAAGAAACGGTACGATTTCACTCTATCCTCATTTTTTTCTCCAGGTAGCACATGGTCCTCGACAGCCTTCATTGTGGACGACGGGGAGGCCTCGGACGGGCTGAACCTGGGGGCGGTGGTGAACGACGTGGACACAGGGGTGGTGTTCCTCATCTATACCCTCTGTGCTCACAAGGTCAACTGCCAGGTGGCCTCCACCATGCTGGTGTGGAGTAAGGACGACGGGGTTTCCTGGAGCGTACCCAGGAATCTCTCCGTGGACATCGGCACAGAGATGTTTGCCCCCGGACCAGGCTCTGGCATTCAGGTTTTTGTCCTGGGGTTGTGGGATTCCTTGGAGGGGGGTGTTGGCATAATGGAAAGAACACCCTACTATGGAGACGTTGAAACTCTACCAAGTTTCTCACGTGCACGTTGTCAATGGATGGGTCCTTACCCTGAGCGGGGTAGGATTGGCTTCTCCTGTAGACATTGTCAACAGATCTGCCCTTAGCCTGAGCGGGGTAGGATTGGCTTCTCCTGTAGACATTGTCAACAGATCTGCCCTTAGCCTGAGCAGAGTAGGATTGGGTGCCCTTTGGGCATACATACACCTTTATCGAGGTTCCCGGTGTCCAGCAGAGACCATGCTCAGGCTGGTGTGACGTTCCCAGGGCTGGGTGGGCACACGTGTACATGTCCAGTGGCGTGTTCTGGGGAGAGTATGAGTACCAAGCATGACTCATGTGTGTATGTATGAAAATGTCACAGTGAAACCCATTTCTTTGTATGCTAGCCAAAATTTTATGTAAGAACAGACAGAAAGCTAAGGCAAGGAGCCAGGTGTTGGTGGCGCACACCTTCAATCCCAGCACTCGGGAGGCAGAGGCAGGTGGATCTCTGTGAGTTCAAGACCAGCCTGGTCTACAAGAGCGAGTTCTAGGACAGCCTCCAAAGCCACAGAGAAACCCTGTCTCTGAGGAAAAAAAAAAACAAAACAAAAACGCTAAGGCAAGGACATCACTGTGAGTTAAAGGTTAGCCTGGGCGTTATCTTCTGGGCTACTCAGTCTGGAGTAGCCGGGATTACAGGCCTGGTACAAAAAGAGCTTCTTAACTCTGGCAGAGTGTGGAGAGCCAAAGGGACCCAGAAGTGTCCTCACACTTGGGAGGGGCCCTCTCTGTCTGCCTGAGCTCCTCCGACACCCACGTCCTCCTCTTCTCTTCTCCCAGAAACAGCGGGAGCCTCGGAAGGGCCGTCTCATTGTGTGTGGCCATGGGACCCTGGAGCGAGATGGCGTCTTTTGTCTCCTGAGTGACGACCACGGTGCCTCCTGGCACTACGGGACTGGAGTGAGCGGCATTCCCTTCGGCCAGCCCAAACACGAGCACGATTTCAACCCCGACGAATGCCAGGTCTGGAGGAGCCGGCGGGAACTCGCTCGCCCACAACCACCGCCACCGCCTTGCCCGGGATGCCTTTTCTCCCGATGGCCCAGCTCGGGCTTCCCCAGCCTCCCCAGGCTGTCCTGAGGCCCTGTTTTCTCCCCTTAGCCCTACGAGCTTCCAGATGGCTCCGTCATCATCAATGCCCGGAACCAGAACAACTACCACTGCCGCTGCAGGATCGTCCTCCGCAGCTATGACGCCTGCGACACCCTCAGGCCCCGGGATGTGACCTTCGACCCCGAGCTGGTGGACCCCGTGGTAGCCGCAGGAGCAGTAGCCACCAGCTCAGGCATTGTCTTCTTCTCCAATCCAGCCCATCCTGAGTTCCGTGAGTGCCTGGGGGCGGGGGTGAGTGGGGGGTGTGCCGAGCCTCATCAAGGCCTGGGCAGAGCAGAGACGCGGCGCCCCCTCCCTCCTGACCCGCTGCTGCCCCTAGGAGTGAACCTGACCCTGCGCTGGAGCTTCAGCAACGGTACGTCCTGGCAGAAGGAGAGAGTCCAGGTGTGGCCAGGACCCAGCGGCTACTCATCCCTGACGGCCCTGGAAAACAGCACGCGTGGGGAGCAGCAGCCCCCCCAGCTCTTCGTTCTGTACGAGAAAGGCCTGAACCGGTACACGGAGAGCATCTCCATGGTCAAAATCAGCGTCTACGGCACGCTCTGAGCCCAGGCGCCCAAGGACACCAAGTCCCGGACTCCGACCTCAGCGGCTCTCCCAAGGGTCTGCAGAGGGCGCCTGAAACAGAGCTCCTCCTCGGGGACTCTAGCCTTTGCAGAAGCAGTTTCTCTTTTACGGGGAAGGACTTAACAACAACGGCCCTGCTGCCTCCCCCGGACAGGAAGTCCCTTCCTCGCCAAGAGCACTTTGTAGAATTCTGGCTGGGGATAGCCCCATCCCCTCTCCAGGGACAATGGGCTGTTCCTTTTTGGGACAGGATGGGGACGGGGATGGTCCCTGAAGTATTGTACAAATAGGAACCCGGGGAGAGGCAGGTACAGGATGGTACTAGATGTGAAGGGGATTTCTGGAAGTCCCGGAGGCTGAATGTATCTTCAGAGTAAGGGTAGGACACACACACACACACACACACACACACACACACACACACACACACACTTGATTATTTATAAATCAAAATATTTGTAAGTTAAAATTTCTAATGAAGGAGAAAAAGCATTTGTAGTCTGTGGTTCTATCCACTCATTCTAGCCTGCCTCACGGACACTGGTGAGGTGTGAATGCAGTTAGGAGAGGGACTCACTGCTTGGGGAACAGAGCCAACTCAACCAGATCCGACTTTCCCATTGGCAGCCCTTGACGCTGCTTTTCACAAGTGCCCGGGAGCATCAGGGAACTAACTGTTGGGGTGTTTTATTTGTTTGTTTTGTTTGTCCAACACAGGGTTCTCTGTATAACAGACCTGGCTGTCCTGGAACTTGATTTTTAGACCAGGCTGGCCTTGAACTCACTGAGATCCGCCTGCCTCTGCCTCCCGAGTGCTGGGATTCAAGGCGTGCGCCACCACTGCCCGGCTTGTTTGTGTTTTAAATTGAGGTGTCTCACACTGTGGCCCAGGCTGGCCTGGAATACACAGATGCTTCAAATCATTCCTCCATTCCATTTAAAGGAATCTTAAAAAAATTAAACATTTTGTTGTCATTGAACACTCAGAGAAGCACTAACAGTGGCATCCACTAGCAACCAGTATTCACATTTAATCAAATTTCTCAAAAATATCTTCGATCTGATCAATCAGAACTGAAAGTCAGGCGTGGTAGTATAATCTCAGCACTCTGGAGGCAGAGGCAGGAGGATGGTTGCAGGAGGGCCCTATCTGACTTCCAGTGCCTACACAGTGGCTCACATCCACCTGTAACTCCAGGTCTGAGACCTGACACCCTCTGGCCTCCACAGGCTTCAGGCACATACATGGTACACATATAGCAAAGTACTCATACACATGAAAATGATTTAAACCAAAAGCAAAGCCAGGACCCAGGAAAACCTATCCCTGATTACCGACTCTTACAGCTCTTTAGTCTGAGGTACCCCAGCCCCTCTCTGCTTGCTCAGTTGGTTGCTGGGTTTTAGTCCCAGCTGGACAGAAACGGGTCCTGTGGGATGGCCCGCTATGCGTTTGTGTTTTTTGCTTCCTTGATGTCAGCTAACGTCTCTCTCCATCTCTTGGGCTTGCAGCTGTGAAACCCGTGAAGGTTTGGCTGGATTCGGATCCCTCTTGGGGAGTCTGACTCCCCCGTGGCTTCCATGGGTTTCCCATTGCATGCTCACACAGCCTGCTTGTCCCCGAGCAGAGACTGAGCACAGGGTCCGGTGACACAACCATCCATGTGTAAGTTTTACCCGTGACCACCCCAGGTATCAGCTCCATCCTGGGATGTGATGTCTGTTACCATTATTTCATGGAGTTGCAAATTGGTGAATTTTTTCCTTTTTGTTTTATTTCTTTCAAGACAGGGTTTCTCTATGTAACTTTGTAGACCAGGGTAGCCTCACAGAGATCTGCCTGCCTCTGCCTCACCAGTACTGGGACTAAAGGCGTGCGCCCCCACCGCCTGGCTTTTTTCTTTTTTTTCTTTTTTTTTCTTTTTTTTTTTCTCATTTGTTACCTGCAATTCTTGTGTGGAAAAGGGCTGGAGAGATGGCTCAGCAGTTTCGAGCACTTGTTTGCAGAGGACCCGGGTTTGACTCCCAGCACCCACAGAGTGACTCATACCTGTCTGTAACTTCAGTTCCAGGGATCCGATGCCCTCTTCTGACCTCTGTGGGCACCGGGCACATACATGCGTGCAGACAAAACACTCAATACACATAAAACTAAAATCTAAAAGAAACTCTTAAGACTTACAAGAGCTTGCCCCCTAGGCTGTCTGTTACCTGTGAGTGGTTGATACAGGAACTTCAGGATGGGGCCTCACTCCCCTGCAAATGAGAAGTTGTTCTCAGAGTCTCAGAGTCAGTTAACGTAACTCACTCATTGCACTAGTCAGTAAACCACATTGTTGCCCCATGGACATACAGAGGCCATCCCCTGGCCTGCAGAGGGGCAGCGGGACCCGGGTGAGGAAGGATGATTGACAGTAAGACACCCAGCAAGACCCTCTTAATAGACAGAACTACCAAGCCCTGTTAATAGAAAGACAGACAGCCGGGTAGAGGTGGCGCACGCCTTTAATCCCAGCACTCGGGAGGCAGAGGCAGGCGGATCTCTGTGAGTTCCAGGACAGCCTGGTCTACAAAGCTATACAGAGAAACCCTGCTTTGAAAAAATAATAAAAAAAAAAAGAATGATCAAACTTAAACCACACACACACACACACACACACACACACACACACACGAGAGAAGTCGTGGAACAAGAAGGAACGACACTCCAAATGCCCCCCTGGTGAAGCAGAAGTGATGAGTGACCCCATCACCTACCTTCTGCAGAGCCAAAGACCCAGCAGACGATGCTTGGGGACCCCCCTCCTCCCAGGGACGGGCTCTGAACCCCATCATAAATCAGACCCCTTCCTCGCCACACCCCATGGCAGCACGGGGCCCCGGAGTTTGCCCCACCCCCATCACCGCCAGTGCTTGGGATGGAGCCTGGGGTCTCAGGCGGGCTGGGCCACTGCTGTACACTCACTGAGCCACACACCTAGCCCTGGATTGTTTATTTTGGTTAGAGGACTGTTGCTGGAGCTCTCCCAGCCTGGTCCTGGGGCTGATTTAGCCACACATAAACACATGGATGCTATATTAGTTATAAAACTGTTGGCTGGTGGCTAGGGCTTCTTACTGGTTAGCTCTCTCTCAATTGCTAAGCCCATAACTACTAATCTATGTATTTCTACATGGCCTCGTCTTACCAGAGAACGCCTGGTGCTTCCTACCTTCCTGGTCATTACATGGCGTATCTTCCCGAGGCCTCCCTCTGGCTTCCTTTCCCCGCCCTTCTGTCCCGGTCGCCCCACCTATGCTTCCTGCCTGGCTATTGGCCAAACAGTGCTTTATCCATCAACCAATAAGAGAAACATATATGGAGAAGGGCGTCCCCCATCAGGGGACGGTGTCACTGTGGAGACCAGCCAGGCCTTGAACCTGTGGTGAACCTCCTGCCTCTGCCTCCAGAAATACTGGCATATGCCACACCGCCATCAGACAGTCTATATCCTGGAGAGGTGGCTCAGCTGTTAAGAGCACCGAGGTTTGATTCCCAGCACTCATGGCTTCCTACTGGCTGTAACTCTTGTTCCCGAGGATCCAAGGCCCTTTCCTGATTTCCTCAGGCGTATATGTGGTACACATACATTTAGGCAAAACAGTCACATGCATAAAATAAATGTAAAAAACATTTCAGATGCATTTCTGAGCTGGGATAGTGCCTGTAGGTAAGATGCTGATCACACAAGGCCTGAAAACCTGAACTCTGACCCAGCACCCACGTAAAAGCCAGTCATGGTAAGTGGCAACCCTCGGGTGCCGGAGGCTGACCTCCGGTCCCCTGGGAGAGCAGCCAGTGCCCACAGACCCCCAGCCCCTAGACAGTGTTTTAATGCAACGGTTCCAAAGGGGCTGGAGAAATGGCTCAGCCCTTAAGAGCTCTTGTTGTCCCGGCAGAGGGCTCAGGTCCCCAGCACACACATGAGTGATGGCTCTCAACCCTCACAACTCCAGTTCTAGGGGAGCCGACACCCTCTTCTGGCCTCCGTGGGCACCAGACGCTCACGTGGTCCACTTAACATGCCAGGAGGCAGAACAGACACAAAAGAGTTCATAAAAAAAAAAAGAGAGCCGGGCGTTGGTGGCACAAGCCTTTAATCCCAGCACTCGGGAGGCAGAGGCAGGCCGATCTCTGTGAGTTCGAGGCCAGCCTGGTCTACAGAGCAAGTTCCAGGACAGCCTCCAAACAATACAGAGAAACCCTGTCTCAAAAAAAACAAACAAACAAAAAAAGTGGGCAAAGAAACACGCGTGGTTGGTAAACATCTAGGTTTCTCCGTTTCATTGTCTTTGATGTGGTGGGAAAGGAGCCAGCCGGAGGCCAGAGACACGATAGCTCAGCGCTCCACCACTCATCTTCAGTGGGTAACCTGGTCTCCATCTTTGTTCTGGGTGTGACGGGAAAGGCTAAATACGTGGAAAGCTCTAACAGAGGTTCACACTTCTGCGAGGTAGACTCTAGAAGTCGAGCTTCCTGTGCCCCCCCCCCCATACCTGTAAAGTCAAGACCCTGGTGGTGTGACACAGCCTGGTTGGGTCTGTTGGGTCTGGTGCAAGAATTCTGTCCAAGCTCGGGGCTGTGGTAGAAGTCACTGAGTGGCAGCGTGGCCTCCACCAGGCGGGCGGGTGGACAGGCGGGCGCTCGCCGAGGATGCTGAGCTCCCCTGCGATTGGAGGCCCTGTGGAGAGCGGTGTGCATCAGGGACAAGCGTCGTCGGACTCTGATGGTGTGGTGCCGAAGCTAGCACCTGTCCCCCTGCCGCTGTGCTGAATGAGAGCCAGGAGGTCAGCACATGGAGGTTTCAGCACGGCATTTGGTCATAGGGATTAGGAGAAATGCCCTGGGCCTTGTACACAAAGGGGATGTGGGGGCAGAAGTGGGGGGGGGTTGTGCTCAGTGGGAGTCGCAGGTTTTGCAGAGATGGAGTCCAGGGCTGGGCACATAATTAGGCGTTGTTTAAAAGTTTTCCCTTTCTCTCTTTCTGAGAAAGAGTTTACATAGGATCTAAACCTAACACCTGACCTCAAACCTCAAATTTCCTATATAGCAGAGTCTGACCTTAAACTCCTGATTCCACCCTCCCACCCCCAAAAGGCACACCCCACCCCACCCCGTCCTGAAGAATAGATAGGGCTCACTTTTGAGGCAAGAACTATGTTATCAAGCTTTGTCTCTAGTCCCTTCATTCATTCATTAATTCATTCATTTATTTTGAGGCAGGGTTTCTCTGTATATCAGGCCTAAGTGTCCTGGAACTCGATCTGTAGACTAGGCTGGCCTCGAACTCACAGAGATCTTCCTGCCTCTGCCTCCCGAATACTGGGATTATAAGGCATGCGCCGCCAACGCCCTTTTTATTTTTTCTTTTCTTTTGAGGCAGGATCTAGGTAAGTTTTCTGAGCTTTGAGCACGCTCTGTAACCCAGGCTGGCCTATCCCTAGCAAACCTCTGCAACAGCCGTGTGGGAAGTCCCACGCCTTATACTGTTTACCGTTCACCATAAAAAAGACTGGGCTAGGGTGTGTAGTCGGAGCACACCCAGGCTCAAGGCTCTGCCTTCCAACCTCAACAGGCAAAAGAAAAATGTTCCAAGTCTTTTTATAGACTTCGTCCAGCTCTCTCAGAAAACAAAACTAAACTAAACTAGCCCCGTAGAGCACAGGGTTCCTTGTATAGTCCTGGAAGATGTCCAGCCCCCAAGATCTACCACCACAAGGCCCTTGGGAGGTGGCTGACCAGTTTGTCACCTGCCAGGCCAGGGTTTAGCTGGAGAGTGTTGGCAAGCCAGCTTTACCTCTGGTGTATTTTTAGATGCTAATGGTTTAATGATGGGCAATAGGCATTCTAGAATGTGACCGTTTCCTGCTTGAGGGTCACCTGATGCAGGACAATGACATCTAACACCTCAAGAGTCAGCAT